GCACAACAAAGCAGTGCTTTGTCCCCTGTCCACAAGATGGAAGATCTAATTTCTAGACCAGGCACCACTTTGGTATTTAAAATCTGCCACTTTCTAGGAAAGCCTGAGAAAGAACACCTTTCCATTCCTCCTAGTAAATCTGGGTCACATGCCGCAAGGAATGCAAGGTGCACTGGATCAAAGAGAATGTGAGGAAAGGGAAGTCAATCTCGATCTGGTTTCACAGCCGTGCCTGGTGGGTCTGCAGCAAGATACTGCTGCTGCTTTCTCACCAAAACCCAAGAAAATGGGATTGCACATCCATCACGCCTCTTCCATCCGCAACCGTTTTTACTTGGGCATCTCCAGGTGCCCTGCCCTTTTCCAGGGTTTTCTCTCCATAAGGTCTTGATACATTACAGCATGTAGGGACTCCATTTTAGGAGTAAGAAATGTAATTATCTATTCGTCTAACAGTGTGAACATAACACAACAACATTAGAAATGCTAGGCCTACCTACCCCAATATTGTGGCTATAACCTAGGTCAAGAGCAGATGTCCACGGAAGAGTGTAAATACAGAGCAGGCACACAGCAAATCTTCCTTAGTGGATTGCCCCATCTTCCAGTGATTTGTGCTCAGGCGCTTCATGAGCCGGAGGTAGTGTCTCTGTCCTGGAACACAAGATGTTTTGCACATCTTGAAGGTGAGAAACATGCACATGCTGACTGCAGTTCGTTGAGTGCAGTCAGTCTCATGAAGCCAGAAGCCTCAGAGTGTTGTTTGGCTGTTGATGCAAAACACAGCCAAGACCTGATGTAACACCTAGTAATGGTTGGTGAGCCCTAGCAGAACAGGATAGGTCAAAGAAAGGTCAGAATAGCTATCTTGGACAGGCTTTGCTCAACTGAAAGCTACAGGGCAGCTAAGAAACACAATGCGTTGAAACAGCTTGTCTCTCACAAATGCGTTTTTGGATGTTGCTCATTGTTGGCATCACAGCTACATTTGACCCTTTATAAATGCTTGAAAATTGCTGGATGTGATAAATCTCTTAAGTTCTGCTGTGCCAACCAATGTTTCTATCACTAAAATTGCTCATCACAAATATTAACAGAAAATGAACTTTGAAGCGGTATATGGTTTTTTCAGCTGCATAATTATTATAATTTTTTATTTGAATGAATATCTGAGATGCAGGTTAGCCTGGTCCAGTCCTGCAACAGTATGGGGCAACACCACTGTGCTCACAGGTAACCAGCTGCCTCTTTAGATAAAGCAGGACAGTTATGAATGCTATATTCGAGAGATATGGGGATACATCCATCACAGCCCAGCCACAACAGAAGACAACAGAACTGGGAATCTTCTGGGCTGATCCAAATATCAAAACAGCAAACTCTAAAGGCCTGAGAAGATAAAAATGTGCATTCAGTCGCAGAGGGGAAATGTCACAGGGAGAAATTTCATAAATTGTCTGCTGAGTGATGACTTCTGATCTTCAGTTTGAGGAGGAAACCCTTCTGCAGGCCTGGAGAGCTGAGCAGAGACAAGTGAAGTTCAGAACTTGGTTGGATGCAGTGGCCAGGGCCAGAAGACAGGGCAGAGAGCCAGGAGAAGGTGAGGGAGGGGAGCAAATGGATGCCCTTGTCTCCTGCCTTCTGATATGGGGCTGGGACATAAGAGCATTACTGCTGGGAAGGATCCAGGCTCCTGATCTGACAGGCCAGACCTTCAGCAGAGGCATTCAGCATGTGCTTTTTCTCTATAAGTATAAATTCATGCCTATGGTTGCACTTTGTCGGTTGAGGCTTTGCACTTGGCAGCTGACAGTCATTTAAGGGTGAAGTTCTCTTCAGCTCAGCCTCACCCTTGTGGTTTAGGCCTTACACTAAAAGCCAAGGAAAAAAACCATGCTCCATGTAGGCAGCTTAAAAAGTCACAGGCATCTCCTTCCTGAGGCTCGCTCATGGGTGCCAAGCACAGGAAGGAGACTTGGAGCAGAGCGGGAAGGGAGGAGGTGAAGGAAGGAGGCAAGAGAAAGAAACATGGGGAATCACGTGTCTACAGAATAACTCTTCTACCACTTCCTTCCTGCCCTGCACCATCGCCGGCTGCTTGCTGGCGAGACAGGTACCTCCGGGAGAAGCACGCCTTCGCACGACAAGTGGCAAACAGCAGGCGTAGGCAGTGTAGAAAGGAGAATATTTAAACACAGGGTCAAGAGAAGTACGCAAAGCCCCAAAGCCCATGGGGAGGGGAGGAGAGTGCACCTTCACACGCTCTTGAAAGGGTTTTTTGCTAAGGCACGTGGGGTAGACAGTCGCTGAGGAACTGAGGTGGCATGTGACTGTGCCGCGTCCCCGTCTTGGCTGTCACCATCTGCCTCACACACAAGTTGTATTCACCTGCTGTGCTTCACCTTAGAAGGGGAGGTCTCCAAAACCACTCTGTGGTGTGCAGCTCTCACATCGGTCGGATGTGTCTGAGTCGAGGACAAGCTCTCGTATGTCACATCCCAGGTGAGGTCTGCGCAGAGAACCGCTGTTGAGCCTGAAATCAAGCATCCTTTTTATCCCCTCTGTACAGCAGTTCAGTAGGTGGCCCAGAGAAGACCCCACCTCACTCACCAAGGGCGGCAGATGACCAGAGGCAGCAAAAAACTCAAGTCATCACCAGCCCTTATCGCAACCATCATTCTTCTAGATTAACGCTATTGCACTTTCACTGCTAGGAAATAAGGGAAGTAACTTCACACCCTCTCATGCAGAAACTTTGCAGCAGCCCTGCTGAGTACCATGCCATCCTCCCTACAGAGCAGCGAGGATCTTCTTCTCCAGTCGTTCTTAAAATGGGACATTTGAAACTAAAGGAAATTTCAGATCCTCATTGAGAGGGTTCAGCCTCCCCACCAGCCTCCAGTCTGATTCTCAGACATGGATGGATGTGTCCCGCTGGCAAGACACTTTGGCCCAACTACCGCAGTGACCGCTGCCTAACACTTGCCAACGAGTCAGCACACAAGCGGGATATGGTTTGCCGCAGAGGGAAGTGGAAGGCAGTCACAGGGCACAGTCGCACCCTCTGGTGTACTTCTGCCACACACACAGCACTGTCTCAGTTCCTCTTGTCTGTGGAGGCCCCTTCCAAACGTCCTCACCCCAGGGAACACCTTACTCCGCTGCTGGTAGCAGGGACGGTAGGTACCACTTCCCTCTGCCCCATCTGCTTGCTTGCCAGGACGTCTTTGCTCAGAAGCTGCTGTCACTGAGTGGGCTCTGACTGCTTTGGGGTACTTGATGGAAGTGAACACCTCAGAACATGGGCCAGGAGATCCTCTCTTGGTGTTTATGGCTGTGGCTAACACTTGCACTGCTGTGAGGGTCTCATAGCCTAGGGCAACCTGTGTCCATTCTCTCATACTGTTCTCATCATCTGCTCTCTAAAGTAAGTCAGGGGACCTGATTGCCCTTCAAGCTCCAGGGATCTTGCATAGCAGGTGCTCTGTTAGGCATTCAGGGTGGAGCTGCTTGTGCCACCCCAGGGACTGCCCTTGCCCACATGGAGGGGAAGGAATGGCCCCACCAGCTTGTCCACCCTCCCAGAGATGCAGGAGACTATCCCACTGCACTGGGAGCAGACTGCTTCCCCTTGGTCTGCTTGAGATGGGCCCAAACAAGCAACAAATAAATATACTGAGGCTGCTAAAAGCTACCGTCACCCCTGCATGAACTCTGGGTTAAAGAAATGGCTCATGCACAGCGTGGACCAGGAAAGCTCATGCCTCTCCCCTGTCTGGAAGGACTCAGTCTCTGTCAACACATCTCCTTCTTCTGGAGTTAGCTGGCTGTTCCCTGGAGCAGGTGTCCACCCCATAAGAGAATGCCCAAAAGATTAAGCCAGACAAGACCTCTTTTTATCAAGGATATTGTACAATGGACACCTTCCACTCATAAATACAGCAAAGTACAATTTTTAAGGGCACACAACACCATTATGGTGCACCCACTTCCATATTCCTCTGCCCACTTGGAGAAGACTTCTGCATGGAAGTCATCATGTGACTTTGCAAGAACTGCTTCTCCTAGCACTATTTAACACTAAGCAAATGCCAGGTCTGTTTTTGTGTATGGTCATCTTGGAAAGGTGGAGTTTTTTGTAACTGTTCCTGCTCAAATAGCATTAAATTTATTTGCCTCCATTTATTAAATGTGTGTATACTCTTCTCTTTGGTCTTGTTTACTTCCTCTAGCAGCCCTTATTTCCTGTTGTTTCCTAGAGGCATCAAAGAAATGTGTAGGCAGTTTCACTGGCTTACTGTGGTGGATGTTATATCACACTACAAGTTTATGTTCTTCAGCTGCAGTTGTTCATTAAGAGGAGGGAGGAGAGAAGTATGAATTAGCTGGATCTGAACCACTATGTTGTAATGCAGTGCGGACGTACACACCAGTGGCCAGATTCTGGTTCCTGCATGCTGGGTAGTCTCTGACACAACTACCACCACCCACTTCAGGCGGTTCCCCCATCTGACTGACCATAAATGAAAGCTACTTTTGGAAGTCTGCCTCTGGAATTTCTAGGGTTTGCATTTTTTTGTTACTCAGTTTGAAAAAAAATGAATTGAAGACTAATGCCCTCAATTTCTTCTGGGAAGTGACTTTAGTAACTGATCAGCAGCTCAGTCTTATTTATGAGGCAGCCTGGTTTAGGGACTGTCCCCAGTGCTCTGTTTTAGTGAACAGGCATGCTGTAGTCAAGAAATTCCTTGTGACAAAAGGCACTTCTTCCTGGAAGTAAATCAGACCTGAGATCTAAGGGACACTATAGGAGGCCAGCAGATCTTGGAAAACTTGCCTGTCAGATAATTCCCCAAGACAAGCATCCCACTTGTTGCTCTCACATGTCCTGTTGGCACCTCTGGGACCATAACCTTTACTGACACATTTTTAAGTTATGCAAATGCTAACTTTCTATCTTGTCTTCTGATTCTCAGAAAACATCGGCTGGAAAAAGAATAATGGAAAATTGTACAGACACAAATAATAGCTCCACTTGCACAGGAATTCCCTACAAAGACAGCAAGACACTTCTGGTTGCTGTTTACAGCATCGTTTTTGCCATAGGCCTTCCAGCAAATTGTGTAACCTCCCTTCTTACGTTTGTACAAATCCAAAGGAATAAAGTAATTGCCATCTACATTTTCAGTTTATCATTGTGTGAGCTGATGTATTTAAGTACCTTGCCTCTCTGGATTATCTACGTGCAAGATGAGCACCAGTGGAATATGGGTGTAATGGCTTGCAGAATAACAGGATTCATCTTTTTCTGCAACATATACATCAGCATTCTGCTTTTGTGCTGCATTTCTGTGGATCGTTATGTGGCACTGGTGTATGCTCTGGAATCAAGGGGGAGAAGAGGACAGAAAAAAGCAATCATAATAGTGTGTTTTCTCTTTGCTGTGGTTGCAACAATCCACACTCCAGTATTTCACATGGAAGGTTATCCAGAACACATGAATAAGAAGACCTGCTTTGAGACTTTGCCCCTTGACATAAAATTGGCTTCTTTCAGCTTTGCTAGATTCCTATTTGGATTTGCCATACCTTTCACAATCCTCATTTTCACAAACTACAAAATTTTCCAAAGTACAAAAACAAGCAGCAGCTTGACTTGTCGCCAGAAAGCCAAAGTGAAGTATCTGGCTATTGCCATTATTGTAATTTTCCTGATCTGCTTTGCTCCCTACCATGTGGTACTCATAATAAGATCCATATACTTTGTGTTTCATCAAAATTGCTCATGTCCATTTGAAAAAGATATATATTCAATTTTTACAGTCTTTCTGTGTTTAACCACTGCAAACAGCATTGCCGATCCAATCATCTACGTGCTGGTTAGTGAAAACGTCAGAAAAGATTTTTGTAGGCATCTGAGAAGGTGGAGACTGAACTCATCCAGGCTGAATTCATCCATTAATCGCAAGACTGACAGCATAAAATTGAAAATGTCAAAAGAATCACAGGAAGGAGGGGTAAGAGAAGAAAACAAAGAAATACCAGATTCATCTGACATTCAAAAGACCTGTAATAGTGGCAAAGACCAAGAAGGTGGCAGGTAGCAGTTAGCTGCTGACACAAACGAGAAGTTCCCAACACCAGCTGTGGGCTGCAGACTGCAGCACGCAAGTATTTACATGCTGACATCCGTAGGAAGTTTGGCCACAGTGCATGGGCCAGCAACTCCTTGAGGACGCTACAGGAGCAATACTTCTTATTTCTGTTTGTCTCCTACAACAAAGTTTGCCCACCAGTATCATTGGTGAAAATACTTCCATGCTAAGGACATGTGGAATAAAGTAAGTAATTTACTTTGGCTCAAATTGAGATCTTAAAAGCTTGTTTTTTGGACTGGCTCTTTTCCTGATATGAATTCAGAATCAGTTTTACCTTCTGAGATGGACAAAAAAAAAAAAATCCCTGCTGAGGAGAACAACGTAGGGCCCATTCTTATGATTGCAACTTTAGTTCTTGTGGAGGTACATGTTCAGATTCTCATACACGTACTCTGTTGTTAACGTTTGTGGTTAACCAGTGGAAAATATTAAAAATGAGGAAGTCTTTCAACAAGAGCCTTGAAAATGTTCTCAATACTTCAGTATGCAGCTTTATCTCCCTTGCACATTCTGGGCAGAATTAGAGGGCAAAAGAGTGGCCTGGTAACATAGACCAACAGTACTTCTACTGTATTAGTCAATATCCTGCACTGTCCTGAAATTCTTAAAATGTACAATTCTAATGATTGACATTTTAGAATTAGTAAATTTTGCTTGTTTTGCGGTTAAATCTAGAATGCACTGAAGTATATAGAAAACTTACACATTTCCAAGTGGAGTCAGGGACCCTTTTTATGCCATCTCTCAACATTTGTTGAACTTGTGTTTCATTTCTGACTAAGCTAACACTTCCCTTTTGGTACTGATCCAACTTTTACTGTGTAGGAGTCTGCACAAGAGTTAAGCGCCTTACTGACACGGCAGGGCTGGCAGCATGGAGAACACAGTCCCTTCTCCCCTTAGATGGGACATGCTGGTGGTGCATACATGAGGCTATGCTGGGGCAGACTTCATTGCTGCTGCTGCTGCTACCACTTTTGCAATGAATAAATTATTGATAGTAGTTTCCTGTGTCTTCAAACCAGACTTTAAAAAATAAGAATGATATAAACCTGGCAAGATTTATCTAAACAGCTTCTTCATTATTTTTCTGTGAGCAAAGTAAAACAGACAAAGATCATGAATCAATTGGATGTTTATTTGAGTATGAGTTTGTAAAGTGTTTCACAGCATCATTCTGCTTCATCTGTAATGTTGCATTTCTGTAACAGTTTTAAATTATTAATGTTCACTTTTCTGATTTGAACTAACATTAGCCAATGTTAATGTAAATGCAATACTTGTTCATATCTTAAAATTGTCATAGATATTTCTGTATATTATGCTTTATTCTTACACACTTTTGGAAAGAAGCATTGTGCTAAAATAGCATTTCCTCAAGTTACTGTATTTATGACATATTTAATTTTTGTATTATTTAATGACTCTTCTGGCATCTACCTATGAAATGCCTGTGTCCTTAAAAGTTTACATAATACTGAATTGAATAGGAGATTGTTTCTTGGAAAAATGTGAAATTCTGTTGTGATGCTAATGAACGAGTTGTGGTTTTGTATTTTCATATGCATCCCAGAGATGAAACTCTCTAAGGTTCCAAGGAGAGATCTGCGAAGTGCTGAATATCTGTAACTTTGCTGAAAATCAAACTTTCCATTGCTAAAAAATTCAGCAGCAGGCATTGCTCATAACAGTGCCAGTCAGCCAGAGCATTGGTGATTAATCTCTGAAGACATATATGCAAACTGCCCCAACCTCAGGATTTTCATAGTCTAAATGTAAACTCCGATGAATAATAGCAGTGAATTTAGAAGAAACCAAAGATACAGACTTCTGAACTGATTGAAATGGATGCAAATTAGATACTCACCTCAATGAATTTAGAAATCTCTCTGAGGTTTTTCTCTGATAAGAAGTGAGTGTCTTTAGAGCAACCAGTATTGGAGGCCAGTGCCATAGATGCCGGGGACAGGGATTAGCAGGGTCTAATGCAACATCTGTAATTCTTTTGCCTTGCCTAATTTACATGCTGTTCTAAATTATCATTATGCATCTTCTCTTAATGAAAATCCTTGGAGCTTCTTTGTTCAGATGCATTCTGAAATAAAAGCCTTAGAAGTGACAAAGCCCTGTGCAGCCTAATCTAACTTGGAAGATGACCTACATGATCTTCAGAGGTGCTTTCCAAACTAAAATATTCCGTGACAGATTGCTGAAGGGATTAGGGGCCAGGTACCAAGCAGTGTATCCACATGGGAAAACTGCAAATCCTGACTTCTTTGGATAAACAGAAAAGCAGCTTTACATCTGAGCGAGGACATCGAGAAATGCTATTTCCACGTTGTTAAAATACCACATCAGATAAACCGACTGTTTCTCATCTGATGAACTGAAGCATGAGATTTGTTTTGTCACACAGTATCTGACTGTGCCATACGGGCAAAGGAAGGGTCTCAGCCCTGGGACACTTGCTAGAGACGCAGCAAAGGACACTACTCAGGTCAGAGCAGATCTGAAGGGTAGATTGGCCGTGTGGGTCTTTCCATCCTTTCCTCCTGCAGAGACCTTACCCGTAAGCCTGCAGAGACTGCTTCATGCTGTGAAGAAAGGTTCACCTACTACCGCAGATCCACAGCTCTCAACCCAGCTATTTGGATCTGTTCCCCAACTTCCTCAACTCACCTTAAGCTATAAAATGACTTGGTGAGAGTACAGAACCAAATATAGGCCGTGCTGCCCAATTTGATCTTTAGATGGCCAGGTCTCCACACATAAGGCTTTGAGTGGGTAAGTGGCTCACCAGTGTAAGGGGGCAAGATTTGAAAATTTCACTCTCTTTTGTATTCAGCATTTGCTCAGGTGTAACTTCCATAATTTGGAGTGGGGTACTGAATAAATAAAACATGATTTTTTTTTCAGACATTCATAATGTACCTGGGAGATAAGTGGATTGGTGATTATTTTAACTATGACTGTGAAGCACGAAGTGAATAATTTCTGGCTATGAACTAGAGCTGACCAAACTAGTTTTTGAGACTGATTTGTTTGTTTATTTATCAATTTCAAGTTATTTCTAAAGACTGCATTTTTAAATGTAATTGTTTGGGGTAACTCACTTATAAAACTCTATTCCTCTCTAAGAAGTGCTTTCATGTTCAGTATTAAATTCTGCTTCAAGTTATACAAAACAGGTAAATCAGATATGAACCAACCCAGACTCTATGGGTGATGAAGTTTCATCTGCAGTTGATGACCCTGTGGCTGGTCTGATTTAGTCCCTGCTATGATGTACAACCCAATGTCAAAATTCTGTTGGGTAGTGAGTGATGAAACCTAACTCAGAACCAGGCTTTCAAAAACGTCCACAATCTAATAGCTTTTCTTCGTGAGCATTTTGTCATCCTACAGGTCACGCTGTGGGATAGGTCTTTTAGGAAAACATCCTCTATATAGTGAAATGATGCCAAAGTTGCCTCACAGGTGGGAATACCTGTCTTATTTTCAAACCAGCACAAACTAAAGGTAGCAAATAAGGGTGGGGCGATTGCATCAGAGAGATGCAATCATTTTTTAACCTCCTCAGTGTGCAGGGAAGCATACAGGTGGCAGCATCCCCAAAGCTGGATCTCCCAGCATGTCTTCTGCGACTAGTGTCTAGAGGATGTGATACCTACCAGTCCTCTCCATCTCTTCAAGTGCCTCCTGGGATGGTTTGCATCCATGGGCACTCCCTCTTTCCCCTGCACAATTAACCTTTGCACAGGAGAGAGTGCTTCTCATACTCTGTTTGCACCAGGGATGCAGCATGGCCTCAGGATGCAATCTTCAAGTGAAAGGAATGTGAACCATAACAAGAGAAATCTGTTATTCTGAATTAGACTAATACCAGTATCCTGGTAATAGATGCCATCATGAGCTATTGGTAAGAAAGAGTAGGACTCTAAACTCATTATGTCTCATCACTGTAATTCAGGTCACTGGTAACTTCTAGGGGTTTACTGTCTTACTCTACCCTGTAAGAAATGCTCAGAGATAACAAAGCAAAAACCAGCCTTGCAGACAGATCTGCTGAGGAGAGATGATAAGCTATGTCGTAAGAATTTCACAAAACATCACATGAATATTATCTACCTCAAAATAACCTCATCAACCTCAAAATAAGACTTTTCAGTACACCATGAAATGATCCATCCTGTTTGGTAGCCTCAGTCTGTGACAGGGCCCATACATTTCAGCCCATGATCACAAAGCATCCCCTGTATGTTCAAAGGTCTGTCGTGAAATATTTTCTTGAGGTAAGTGAAGAATCAAAGAGAAGAGAGATACCATAGGTAAAGGGTGTTGTACAATGTACAAAGTCCTGAAAAGCCTTGTAAACCTAAAGTCACAGATGTTCTGAACAGGTATGCAAATACCCGAGTGTTCAGAAAGCTACTTAGAAATGCATCAGCCTGTATCACAGTTCCCCATCGGTAAAATGGGACTTCTTCCCTTGACCATTGTCTGTCTTCTCAGTTTAAAATACAAGCCCTTGCAGGAGATACTAGAAAGAGTATGCAGCTGTGTCGTATGCATATTCAGAGCTTACTGCAACAGAGCAGTGAACGGTGTGGAGGCAAATATATGGTACTAAAGCACAAATTCTAATGAGTCAGCACTTTCAGGGTCAGATGCAAAGTACTTTATTTGCTTCTATTTATGCTGGAGCATCAGAAAAAAAAAAAAATCAGACTTTCATTTTAACTTTGGGTCTCCTCCCAGTAACATGGGCACTAGACCCTTGGGGACTTTGCTGGGATTTTTCCTCACTGGAATATTTTGGTGTTTGGAGGTATTTTGTTGCTTCCAAAAGGTAAGAGTAATACCGATCCACAGAGTTGACTTCCAGACTGGAAACACTCAGGGCCAAGGGTTCACAAGGCTCATAGTACCTCTCCAGGTACAGGACT